CCTACAGTTTAGCCTCCATATAAATGACTATAACACATTTGGAGAAATATCTCACCATGCGGACAACTCTTCAGAAGCATTTTGACTAGAAGTGATCAAACAAATATTTAAAGTAAATACTTTATTAAGAGTATAAATCTTTCAGGTCTTGTGTATAAGAAATTTAAATGCACTCTTAATAGTTTCTGTTTTATACAACTACGCTTCAATAAACAAATCTCCAGAACAAGTTAGACAACCTTTTAAAAGAGCCACACACAAATAAAACCTAACAAGTGTCTGAGTGCATTAACAAGAGTGACATACTGCAACTAAAAACTTCAGGCATTATTTTTAACCAGCAGGGCATGACAGAAGTTTACACACCCTTGTTGTTGATGCATGACTGCCAAGTGTAGAAATTGTATTTTAACTAGCTCAAAACACAGTAACCAATATGATTTCTGTATTTTTATTGCAGTCCAGCAACAGAAAGCACTAAGATTCTTCAGCACATTGTAGTTTCAAAGCTTTTCTACAAATAGAGACTTCAGCAGCACATTGCTTCATGGTCCTCAAAGGATAACAGCCAGCACATTGGTTCATTATCAGGAACAGTATTCCCAGATTTAAGGGCAGCTGACATGTTGTAAGCAGTGTGGTCAACTTAGGAAAGCTTTACATTATTTATCACGTATGACATATTGAATCAGCATCACAAATATCAATATGGTTCGGGAAGTTGTGTATCAAATAAAGAGTAACTTTTTTTAATTATACATCCAAGATTTCACCCATTGGCAGACATGCAAACCCTTTGATTTAGACTCTAAATAGCCAAGAGCTAACATGAACCAGTAGAGTGGGTGACCCAGTGTCATAGTAGCTGCCACTGCCAGCATTATCACTTCAAAGCCCGTACCCTTCAAGCACTTCATGCTCGCTTGCTTGCTTTAAAAGCCTTACTTGTGCTAAGCTGAGTGAAGTTGCTGCACATGATAACACAGCAGGGAGGATATGGGTGCTGCGGGAGTGAGAAAAGAGAACAAAGGTTTTGTCTCTGCCTAAATCTTGGCAGCTGCTTAAAGCTTTTTCTCAACCCCATTGTCTTTAGCTGGAGTACATTTGTTATCTGATCTCAACAGTTGTCATTTTGGAGACTAGCCTGTTAAAAATGTGACCGCAATTTTGCTTTCCTCACTGAAACTGTTTTCGCTTTAGGACGTCTTTCAAACTAGCAATTGGATTTTTTGAGCAAGTCCACAGGGCAAAACAAAACAAAACCCATAAAGCAAACCACAAAAATCAGCTTTCTTGTTTTTCTCTCCAGTTGACACACAATCATTGATGAGTCATATGTTCAGGCACAGATGTATCCTCAATAAGGACAGACTGTTTAACAACTCCTTACTTGTAATATAGTGATGGAACATGAGACTTCTTGTTACTGTTTGCCTGTACTATTTAATAGAAGAAATATTTTCACAACTAAAAAATTGGATCCAAACATTACTGTCCCGACAAGAAAAATTTATAACGGAAATTTTATCTTCACTTATCCTCTGTGAAAATACTCCTTCAAAAATCAAAAGCTTTTGAAATAGCCTATTTTATCTGACAGTCATTTTCAAAATATTAGACTAGGAAGGGAAGCAAGTCTACGTTAGTCCTGTAGTTTTGAACCAGCATTCCATCTTGCTGCAAACCTCCCAGTCATCCTCACTTTCTGTGCTTTGGTTGCCATTGCAGAATGTACACTTTTGGACGAAAATAATCCCTGAAGTGCACCCGTGGATTCCCATGTAACACCACGGCTGCTAACAGCAGTCAGGCCACAGGAGCACACTAAATTTAGCCTGAGGCAAAAGCAGCAAGTATGGCACGGATGGCAGGTCCCCCTCTGTAGTCGGTCTGCTTTACAGATCCACTCCTGCTGAGGAACATAACTCATGTGTAGACAGAGCCAGAGTGTGCCAGCAATGGGGACTTCCCTTTCCTCTACACCTCTGCACCCACCAACCACTCTATTCAATAACATGACAGATTAAGTCCTCATCCAGATAGTTTTGACTATACACAGACACCAAAGACCATGCAAGATAACCAAAAGCCAAAGGACTCATGAATGCTCTGGCACCTGCATTTCCTCAGTGTTTCTAGGATCCAAAATTACCACTCAACAAAAAGTACATGTACAGAGACAGCACAGCTTTAGGAATCTGAAATTTTTACAAGCTCACCCATACTAAAGACAACACACAAACTTAAAAGTCTTAAGCCAATTTCATTGGGGAGGGAAAAAAAGGTTTAGATCAGTATGCCCATAAATGTTCCAGAAGCCTTACAGGCCCACTTACTGGTTCATAATTGGCTGATGTAAAGACACTGTAACCAATGCGTGTCCCAAGACAGTGAAGATATTCTCGTTTAAAGAGCTTTCATGTTGGGAGAATTGTTTTTTAAACAAACCTGACAACAAGAGGAATAGCAGGAGCTAGTAGCTAATATTAGACATGCCTGTCCAGTTGGATGCATTTTCAAAAAGCTGAAGCATTTCAAGCAAGATGTTTTTTCCAAACAAGGATAGAGTTACCTTCTTCAACAGCTGCTCAACCTCTTGCATCTGTGCGCTACGATCAGTGACAGACACTTTTGCATACTCCTGCTTTTTGCCAAGCCTGCTCTTCCAATCTTCTTCACCACTCTTCTTCAGCAATGCCAACCTAGAAGAAGAACCATGCCAACAGGTAGATTTAAATGCTGCTTTCCATTATCCTCAAAAACTATCCTTGTTGTTTCACTAATGCTGCATTCAAGAGAATTTGCAATTAAGTTTTCTAACATTAACTGTAGTTATTTACATCCTGTACACATATACAAATCCCATAAACAAATACCAAGCCTTTACTGAATATGTTGAGCGGGAATCATCCAGATCTGAGAGCATCCCAGTTAATTTCTATAATCAGTGGAAATTGCCAATATAGTCAAGGGAGACCAAGACATAATGCAGACTATTCTAAAGTAGACTTATAAACAGGTTAGATTTTTTCCCCCTCCCCTCTGCTGATAATGCACAGAGACCGACTAGCTCAGCTACAGATGTTTATGCTGCAGATGTCCAAAGATAATATGATGAATCCTACCATTGGTCTCTAATGTAATCATTAAAAAAGATTTTAAAAACTGCTTGCTTTAAAACCCAAGAAGAAAGAGGACTGTTCAGCAAGCACCCACCAGTTAGATCTCATCGGGCACATCAAATAACTCCACAGTTGCAGCTTTCACTACAACTCAAGTGACTGAGGTTACTACTAGACTCCAAGGGATCACTCAGTATCTCCTTGCTTAGCTCCGGCATTACCGTCACATAAATCAGCAGTACCAATGCAGTAATAACTTGGTGCTAAGTACACTACAGCTGTGAAACCTATCTGCAAGACTCAATTCATTTAAAGGATGTCTTATATTTAAAATGTAGATTAACATTAATCTCAGGTAAGCAGAATCTTTTAAAAGTGCTATTTTTTAACCTTGAGCAAAATTCCAAATATAGCACAAAGCAACACTGACTGGCTCTGGTGGAGACAGCATGTAGATTTATTTTGCTTGAATTAGAAACTTTCTGCCATACAAACTCTGAGCTGATTAGTTTGGGGAGTAGGGGAAGTCAGTTAGGAATACACAGGCAGGATCTTCAGCTTGCCTTCCTCAGAAACTAATGTCTGAATGGACTTCATAGCTTTCTTAGTAATCTATGATGTATGTATCTGCAGTACTTGTGTGAACAGCTGTATTTGTCCACTAAATTTTTATTTTAGTTTAATTAAGTTTCACTACATAACTTTCTTTTATCTAGGGCGTTTCAGGATTATACTAAACCCTTAACCCTATTAATATTCAAACAGGTTCAGTAGTTGAACCTATTCTGACCACAAGATATGGAGATTCCATTTTAGAGACATGATTACTGTTACTCACAGTAAGTCTTGTCTTGAAACTCTGAGAAGAAAAAGGGTAGGACCAGATAGATCTAGTTAGAAGCCAAGTTTCAGACAGCCCATTCCTGCAAAAATCCAGGGGGTAAAACCATTCTACTGACCTATTCAAGGATGTTTAATTGGTCCTAAGGCAAATCTGAGAAAAACTGCAAATGCAGAAAACAGTCAGTCCACAGAATACAATGGCGGTAAGACTGTTAGTATTCCAAAAAGCAGTTATTTCCTCTCTTCCTGCCCAGGCAGGCAGCGCTGGCAGGCTTCACATTGCCTGCTTGCTTCATACCTCACAGCACGGGATGAGCAGGGGTGAGAAGGACTCACAATAAGGAGTTGAGGCCATGGTCATTGTTTCCAGAACGTTTATAAGATTTCACTGCCCAGAATTAATCTTCTGGAGTGCATCCATGCATGTGTGAAACTGTAGATGAGACCAAGATGGGACTGAATTGCCACCATGCAGTTGAATTATCTTCAGTAGATATGTTCCCTCAGGTCAGCTTTTCTTAGAAATGATCTGTGATAATTGAAACTGGAAGGCGTTTTGGTCAGCTTAGGCCTAAGATGGGTTTGTTTATAAAATGTCTATAGCTGCTCAGCATAGCAGGCAGAAATTATTTTTTTTTTTACCTGGCATTACTGGAGAGTATTTGCCCTAGACCTTTGCCCTAAACAGCTTGGCTGATCAGGAAGAGAAAATCTAAAATTCCAAGAATGCTTCTGTGTCTCTGGAGATTTTCATTTCTCCTCTGTCATAAAGATAGATTCATACTAGCCCTCCACTCTTCACTGGCATACATAATGAAACAATTCATTCCTAGATAGAGAATACACATTTGTCCGTTCTGAGCAATGAAATGACCACTTAAAGAAACATGTATGCCCTGTATGTCATGGAAAACTTCACAGCTGTGTAAAACCTGAAGCCATGCATTCATTTTGTACGATGGAAAAACAGTAACAAACTCAGGCTGCCCTGATTCAGCAACAGTTGGTGGGAACCCTTTTATATGAAGAAAGATGCAAGAACTACTGAATCGGTTTACACAAGCCCACCAGCTCAGCAACATAACTCAAAGTAGACAGCAGTTGACTCTTCAGAAAATCTGCAAAAATAAATTATTGGATCTAACACTTGGGTTTAAGACCTCCTGCCTACTATTTCCATTGCATACTTCCGTTAAATAATGAATAATAAAAAAGAAATTCATTATTCACTTTTAGAGTTTTAATTTATTTATACTCCTTTTGACTCCAGAAGTTTCTTTTCCAATTTAAAAAAAAATAAAAAGGGTTTACACTCTTTTCTTTGAAAGAGAAATGCTTTTTATATATTTTCCCATTTTTGACAGCTTGCTCTGCATCTTTCTTTCACCTGCAACTGAGCTGAAATATCTGTCATCAAGATAGAATGATCATCATCCCAGAGATGTCATGATGGGTTCAAAGTAAAATCTTTCACAGATGAAGGCAAAAATTGGATTAATACTGAAGAGAAATCGAAACAACATTTGAACAATGGTTTTGCCTAAAGAAGGAGCACTTTGAAATAACCTTGATAAAGGTTTGAAAAACCTTGACAAAAGTCCTTGCAAAAAAATGTCCAAAATGACACATCTTTCTTCTGTGGTAATATTTTAGTATCGTAGGTGCTAGCGTTATCCTTGAGACAAATTAAACTGGACACAGGTTTAGCCTTCGCACATACTCAATTGGCTGTAATTGACCAGTTCTTTTCAGCTAAATCATCTCATATTGGCCATGAGGATTTATAAGTAACTACAAAAAGGAAGCCGTCTATTAAAGAGCTCATAAATTCACTGTACTGAGAACTAGTCCACATAAGAAAGCCTTGCTCTCATACATCGAAAAAGATTGAAAATTTAGCTTCGGCTGCGGTCTTCCTGAGAAGGAACAAATAACGGTAAGAGCTCCACCAGAAATCAAGAGTTATCTGTACTTTTTAAAATGATGATCATGGCATGCAGTTGACTCCTAAAGCAGAACTGATACGGTCTCCAAAAATGCACAAAGACAGGTAGTTACACGCAACTGACGTGCCATTTGAAGTCCTCCAAAACATTTCTCTTCCTGAAGGCAAGACAATCAAAAAATGCTTTTTACCATTGATATGTAACACATCAGTGGATTGGCCCTCACTGCCTAAAACAAAATGCAGCTTGAACTACTCAAAGATAACAGCCTTTGCTCCCTCTCACCTCCAAGCTGTGTGTTTGCAGAAGAGGAGAGAGCAGGTGTCTTTTCCTCCTTGAAAAATTATTTTCATTCTTCCATATAATATAGGTAAATTTGAAAATGCCAGGCATGCATTCGCTCCACAAAGGCAATATTAGTTCAGTGAAGTAAGTCTTTGAGGAAAATCACTTTCATCCGGACCAGCTTGCACTCATCCTGCCCAAATATCATTACATCTGTGGAAAAGCTGTTCTTCCGTAAGGTGAAAGAATGTCTAACACAGCCAGAAAAATCTACTGGATGGGAAGATGAAGTTAGTGAATATAAAAGGAAAAAAAATATCCAAAATGTAATAGTTAATCTTTAGCAGAAATGTTTTTTAAGGTTTATGAATACTTGGCATCAGTTATAGTCAAGCGAAAGAGAATGACTGGTGGTAGTTTTTTTTTAATTCTGGGCCAAGAAGTAGACTCCCGTGGTATTTCGGAAGGCTAAAATGTTTTTATACCAGCTCTGCCACTTACAGATGTTTGTGGAATCAGAATATACAAATTCCTGACAAGACAGCAGGCATTTCGTCAGCTTTGGGACTGACTAGACAGTCTTAGAGGCCTAACAAAAGTGATTCCAGTTTGTAGAGTGTGACTGATGGTCTTTAACATTAGCTCCTCAAGAGATCTACTCAACTGAAGCATTACATTTAGAGCTGAAACAGCTGCTAATACTTGGATCATCCTTTTCTTCCAATGTCTCTTTTCCCACCAAGCACAGGGAAGGCAGATCATTTACCACCTATAAACCAGAAGTTACTAGTCCTAAATCCTATCTGCCCAGACACTTGAAGTATTTGCAGAAGGGGGCAAGGGGGATGAAGGTTGCTTTAAACAAAACAACATTAAGCTGAAAAAGGTAAGTACATCCTTCAGAAGGGGCACTAAGACTGCAGGGCTGTTGTAGCTGCCCCTGAAGCCACTCTTTACAATAAGGGGATAAACAAGGAGTGCAGATACTTTATAAACGAGGATCACTCTCACATCCAGAAATACATGAATTTAAGAAGCATGCTTTGGAGTGATATTTAAAACAAAATGAAAATTTTTAGGACTTCCTAATACCACACTCACCTCACCAAGTGAGGGAAATCTTTTACACAGTGCAAGTTCAGTCAAGCAGCTATTTTTATTTATTGGTTCTGCTTTCATTGCAGAAAAAGTGATGTAAAAATAGGCCTGTTTGTCAACACAAAGCACATATTTGTAATTTTACTCACTGGACTGCTACCATAACCTTTTACAATTTGGGGCTGCCTTTATGCTCTCAAAGTTTTGGCTAAACTAGAAGGACTTTTACAAGTACTAAGGCAGTTATTGGAGCTTCAGCCATGAACTCCTACTGTTTGCATAAGCACAGAATATTTAACATTTTCCAACCCAAGATCATTCTGATTTGAAAAAAAAGATATTTCCGACACTCCCAGAAACCTGTCCGACTTATCACCCTTTTAAAATCTCTGCAGTAAGTTCTCAGAAGTCAAAATGGCAATCACATATTCCTGAACCAGAGAGGGAAACATCACAAAGTGTGTATCCCTGACTCCCTATACTCATTTAAAATAGAATCCCACAGACCAACAAAAACCTGCCTGCTAAAAAAAAACCAAACCACATTATACTTCTTGAAACTGAAAGCGAAACCTGACAAAGCACATTGAGAGTATCAGTATAAATGTAACTAGAAAAAATATTTTTAAAACTTTCATTTTCTGAAGTACTTATTGATTATTCAGGTGACTCTTTCAAAATCAGATTATCACATTCTCTTGAACAGTAATTCTCATTTACCACCATCTGCTTTATAAGCATGTCAGCCAGATTAGCTGCATGTTTCTGCTGTTAGTATTTGACATCTAATAAAGCCTAATAATCACTGCCTAGCTTTTTCAGGAACAGGTTTAAAGCTTCTTTTTATACCAGCAGTCTAACAACTATATTTATATAGAGATCATTTAAAAAAAAAAAAAAAAAGGTGAAATTTAAGTACCTTTCCTTAATTGACATAGTTTTGCTGGAATTATCAAGGACATCCTCAGTTGTTTGTGCTTTGTTCTCTCCAATGGAAAACATCTCACAGGAATTCTTGTAAAATTTGCCTTCCAGTTGCTCGGAGAGCTCCTGCAGTCTACAGGATGCCACAGCTGCAGCTTGTGAAACTGTCCTCATTGCTGATGTGCTGGTGAGTTCAGGAGTAGGCTCAGCATGGTCTGCCCATTCCAAAGAGAAATGCTGAATTAGACTTAAGGCTATCCTCAAACGTATTTTACATTACTAACACTGAAGCAGCAAATCTGTTTTTTAACATTCAAATCACATGCTATCCTAACAGAGGAAAAATTTCTGGCTAAGCTGGAGTACAAAGATTAATTGCGCAATATTATCTGCTGCATACACAGGCCACTTCTAACTGAAGTTCACATGAAGCCACAGAATATCATGTTCAATACACAATTCTGAACTTCTTATGGATGAAGCATAAACTGCTGCTTTTGTCATCACATCAACAGAAACACAAATGGACAGATGAAAATGAGGTGGGAACAAAGAGTAGGGGAAGAGAAGCAGGCAAAAATTTGAAGTAAGAATTTAACCTATCTGTAAAGCAGTTTAATGCATAAGTGGCATACTAGGAGAAAATTTAATACCTTAATAAAGGTGTTGCTTACTAGGAGGGTGTTGGGGCCTTTTTTGGTTTTGTTTTTTCAAGCAGCAGTTAAATCACAGGAAAAACTGCCTTGATGAAAGATAAATGCACCATTACAGCCATCCTTAAGGAAATATAACTGATCTTCATTTTTCTTTTTGAAATTTTACAAGCACAACACCTCTCTGATAAATGACAGCTCCTGTTTTATCTCAGCCTCCGTCTGCCCTGCAGTCACCAGAAGTTAATAGGATAGAACGGACACTGCTTTTGAGGAATACAGAGAGAACTATATCTTCCTCTCTATGTCTGTTCAAAGACCATTAAATTCAAAATACGTTAACTTCACAGGATGAAGACAAAAGTGCTTCTAGCATTACAGGGTACTGTGGTTCTGTACCCTATCACAGTACAATAGAAAACTAATAAAACATCCTTCTAAATTCAATAGAATGGAAGGCTTCATGCAGTGAGCAAATTGACTGATTATTTTCAAATCACTTTGTTTAAAGATGGGTGAGTTTACATATTAAGTTTGAATTTTGCCGTGCATATAGAAATATAATTGCTCTGAGAATTACTTCATTTATATTGCTTTACTACATTGAAGAGACAATAATAGTAGTTTTGCAAAATTAGTCATCTCAAAAGTATCCCCTTACTAGCTATATACATACATATGTAGCTAATGCATATCTATATACGCACAGGAAGGCAACAATTAAGAGCAGACATTTGACCCACAGCAGCAGGTTTAGTTTGTTCAGCATTTTGGAGGGCAGAGCCAAGGGCAAAAGAGGAAAGGATAAATCTTGCTTCAACATATAATACCACTTCTTTCAAAATAAAAAAATCTGAATAAAATTAACCCATCTTTAAAGGCTGAGGAATTCATAGAATAACAAAGAAAAAACTGTATTTGCAAAACTCAAGATTTCGCAGGTACTTCTCTACTTTTAAGCAGTATTAAAATATATCAAAACACAACCAGCCTTGATAATGCTTCAAATGAAGATGTTTCAAACTAGAGAAACACCACCATTCGCTGAAGGAGACTACACCAGTAGCAAGTATATACTGCACCTCTTTGCAAAGCCTTGCTTCTCATAACACTTCCCAAATTCATCTTTTCTTCAAAGGACTGGCCTTCTTTGAGTTCCCATTTACCTTGCATGCCAGTATCAATTTCCTTCTGTTCAAGAGACGGAAAAAGTGCCTGTGAACTAAACAGTTCCGTGCTGCCCTTCCTCAGGAAGCTGTATGTTTTCTCTTTATGGTAGTCTCCTGTTTTTTCAGGAACAGGATGTGTGGTTTCCTCCTCAAAGGAGCTGTACTTTGTAATTTCATTAGCTTCATGTGCTGGAAGCCTTCTTTTGTCCTCTTCGCACTTCTTTGATGCTCTTTTGCTTTCTAGCACTTCCATTGAGGGTTGCCACTGTTCTGACTTCTGTGTGCGTTTTCCTGAAGAGTCTGAGTTCTCTGCAGAAGGGTGGAATCTCAGATCAGCTCTAGCAGCAGCAGCACTCACGCTCCCATCACCAGCTGGCTTTGTGTGTAGGTCTCCAGCAAACAACGGAGAAAGGACAGATGCCATCGTTGAAACCGAGGTTGCAACTGCAGTTGACAGGGGAGTAATTTTTCCACTTTCATTTTGTACCTATGAAAAATTAAACAAAACAAAACTCAACTTAAAAGCTATGAAATCATCAATTCTCAAAGACGCTCTGACCACATTAGTTTTTAAGAGGTGTGCTTCCTTACGAATACAGACTAGAAGCAGACGAGGAGAGCCACAACGTCCTCATAATTAGGCTGCAGATGGATTAATCCACCCAGGGAAGAAACAACTGCATGTGAACAGCAACACCTTTAGTAAGAAAGTGTATGTGCAGCATGCAACGTGATGTTGTGTTACGACTCCATCGAAAGGCTCCTAACTGGCACGGTACTGCGCAGCACTGGGGAAAGAAATTAGTTCAGGTTCCAGACGCCGGATGACATGCCATGTGCCCAGGCTAATCAACTCTGCATCTCAGCAGGGCTAATTAGCTTTGGCACAGCTCTGCTCTGATATGGTTATGCAGCTTCCAGCTCTGGAGCTAGCTCAGCGCCACGGAGAGACTCTGCTCCGCGCTGCCCTACTCAGGGCAGGATTCTGCCACATAAATAATTTCACACAGGGCTGTTAGTCTAAGACTTTTTCAAATACAAACAGGGGGTTGTCACGTACATCTCTGAGCAATGTATTTGAATTTAAGAAGCATATTAAAAAACCCTCCAGATTTGCTTTGTCAGTGGAGCAATTCTGTTCTACTCTTCTAACATAATAATTCCATACAGTTTTCCTGGAGACAGCTATGATGCAAAATTTTTCTGAAATGCAGAAGCTGTGAAAGAGACTGACAAGCATGCTTTCTTACACATCAGGAGAGGTTTTTGTTTGGCTTTTTTAGTTGTTTTCCTAAACTGCAGGGCTAGTGAACAGCATGCAAAAGAAACAGACAAAAATCACACGAGTAGGAGGAAATGAAACAAAAACCTAAAATGCACATGCAAATTCCATAAAGCATGGACAACACAATCTTTCATTAAACAAACCAGAAAGCAAAGGTAAGACAACTACACTAAGCCAAAAATTATCAAGAAAGAATAAGAAAATAGTTACCAGTTTACTCTTTTTCCATTGCATCTATCAGAATTAGAAATTCAGAGGAGATTAGCAAAGGGATTTCAGCTTTAATTACAAGATATTTACATTTGCAATTATGTATTATGGCAATTAACCTATTTTGATACTTTTCTTTTGTTTCTTCCTAGAAAAACTGTAACTGCATCTTAAAACATCCCAGCACCCCAAATTAACACTTCACTACAGAAAGTCTTTTTGAAAATATACTCCCCCACTGAACCTCATTCACAGTCAACTCTAGTTTCTTTTGCTAGTTTCAGAAAGAAAACACTAAACATGCTGCTTCTGCATTTCCCTGCTTAAAGAGCAAGTTTGTACCATGAAAGCCTGATAGACCAATGTGACCTTCATGTTTTGCCCATCGGCTTCAGCTCATTTCTGTTGGTCACCTTCTGGCCCCTAAAGAAGTTTGTGACACAATCGTTAAAGAGGGCAGGCTGTGACAGTGATTGGCAGGCATGTGGAAAATAAATGGAAAGATGACTAAGGTCTGGAAATCTTGTTAAAATAAATTTGCCAAATATTTACTACTACTTCATGTCTATGTAAAGTATCTATAAAGTACAACTATATATCTGTACACCTTTGCACCACTATGGTTAAGAGAAATTCTGCCTTGTTACTACTCTATTATTATAATATGGAAAGTGTATAATTGTGACTGGAGCATATTGGAAGGGAAGGAGAGGAACTTTCTAACACTCGAATTGATCCAAATCCCTAGAAATACGACATGCAGAGGAGTTGTGCTGCTAAAATGATTTCTCTTAATCCCCTAGTACTAAGGGACTGATGTTTCTGCTGTTACCAACATCAGCTCTGAAAGACCATCGCTGGGCCATCACGTGCTCAAAGTTCACTAAAAAGGCATTCCTTTGCAGTTCCTATTATATGAAGGTTTCCAGAGCAGGAAGCTCAAGTCTGCTGCATAGATTAAATTATTTCATTTTGACCAGGACTTTCTGAACTTCAAAAGCATTCTGCTTTTAGAGAAAGAGAAATAATCAAAAAAAGAAATCAATGTCCCCTCCAAGAGGATAATGACAGAATATGTCCTGACTAATGATGGAAATACACAGTGCTTTCAGGAGAGAGTCTGAAACTTGCACATAACAAAGCTCCAAAATTCCCTGGAAATACGTCTAAAGCACCATGATAGATGTCACAGTTTTTACTCCCTTGGTCAGGAATTTACTCTGAGATTGCATGTAATATTCTACTGGAAAAGACAGACACCATGAAAGATACAGCATTGTACCAATCAGGAGGATGATATACTCTTGAATTACTTAAAACAGAAAAACACACCAATGAAGTTGAACATTTTAGTCTTCGTATCAGAAGACTGCTTCCTGACAAGCTTTTTCCCGTGAATGCGTGTCATGACCCCAGTGTGTAGCTCAGAGCAAAGAAAAGACGAGCTCTTGTAGCATCTTACACTGAAGCTGCTGTCTCCAATGAAAAGAAACAAATGAAAAAGAGCTAAGATTGCACCTACCTGCTCCACTTCTCCAAGAGTAACTGGCTGAGTCTGGTAACGAGCGTTCATTCTTCTGTGCCTAATGTCCCCTCGACTCCTTGTGGAGATGGCCCTGGATACTGGCTGAGACAGTTTGTTAAACAAAGCCATCTTTTCTGCCAAACTTAAGGTAGAAGAATCTGGTTCCTCAGACTGATCTTGCCCCATCGCCTCTTTGGCTGCTCTTATCTCCTCTTTAGCTAAAATTTTTTGGTGTGCTGATGCCTGCAAGCTGAAGAAACAAGTGAAAATGAGTTTCAAAGGAGCTGTTATGAAGTTCTGAAATCTCGGCCTGATAGAAGCAGAAGAACCAAATGCGAAGCGCAATAGCCAATGTAATACAGCAGCCTAAGTGGTTATGCAGTGGTTCAACATTGGCATGATGAATTCTAATTCAATAGCTGAAGATTTAAAAAAAAAGTTACATTTCCATTCACATATTCATTTGATTAGGATACAACAACTTTTTAAAAGAGGAATAACCCAAGACTGAAGAGAGATTTTTCAGACCAATCTCTTTATACAGGATACAGAGCTATCGGGAGACATTTAAGATGCCTCCTGTAGAACAAACATAGGTCCTACAGTGCAATTTACATAAAATTTAATTTTATTAGAAATAATTTGTGGAGCATACATGGAAAAAATATTTAAGAGAGAGATTTAAACTCCAAGTCAGTGCTGCATTTAGATGAGCATAAATTGTAACAGCTTTCATAATTTGAAGCGTAACAGAATTCAGACTGTCATTTGTTTTGACTTTTCCAGGGTAACTTGACAACAAAAACTTTTGAAGTACACTATATTAATTTTGAAGATTGTTTGACCAATGCTGAAGGCAGGTGCATTCATTCATAAAAGCTGTAACTGCATTTGTCTCTACAATAATATATCATATTCAACTCTATGATAATATATTTTATTCACCTTCATTCACATTTATGGAATTAGTAGCATTGTCTTTTTTTTTCTTCTCTTTTTATGTCGTGCTCTGCTAAAATTCATTCAGAACAAGGCTAACAGTATTCTGCAACTTTACCTATAGGTGGTGCAATTTCTTATCTTTCCTTTCATTTTGCAAACTAAAAAATACATGTAGAGACAGACAAAGAGGCTGTGTATTGCTTGTGAAATCAAGCACTCAGCTTTGGTATTTTCATTTCAAGACGACATTACTGTATATATAAAAATAAAAGTACAAGAGGAAAGACGGTAAGATGGTTCCGCTAGGTTTGCTCACATGCAAATTCATTTATTTCACAATGAATAAAAATATGCTTCTAGAACAGGGGAGTGTGGTTAGAAAGGTCCTGAAAACAAATGCTCAACAAAAAATAAATTAAAAAAAAGCTGCATTGCTTTATCATGCAAACATAAATGAAGTCGACGAATGTTTTACATATTCTTGAAACAAGTATTGACTCGACACATTGAAAAGGCATTCAAGACTTTAAAGATGCATCTGCTATTGAGGAATCTTGTGCTCCACGTAACATGCATGTTTATCCCCCCCAGTACCTGATAGGTTGTACAGTGCTCTTAACTACAGTGGGACTAGGTACTCTTGTCACTACTGTGTGGGTATTCACAGAACGTGAAGCAGGGGTAGATTCACTTTAAAGAATTGCCAAGGAGGGAAAATTCACAGAGAGAGAGAAGAAAAAAGCATTAAGAAAAGCAATACATTAAGTGTTAACTACAGAAAAAGACCAAAACCAAAACAAAACAGAAAAAAAACAAACAGCAGTGTTTTTTAATTAACTGAGTTATCTGATGCGACCTTTGTAAAATAACTTCAACTACTTTGAAAGAACTGAAAACCTAGAAGAGCAAGCAGGATGTCTCTTGAAGTTATTTGTTACCCATAACACAGGCTATCTTGTAGTAGATCATGAGGTGAGTGTCCATGCACCTTTGTTTAATTTTTCCCCAAAATGACTTTCCTTTTTTCAGGAGAATTTCACGATGTATGACCAGAGTGCATTTCCAAAACGTACGTTTGAGATTTCAAAGTGTTTAAGTTTTTCCCCGATACAAATACATTCCATGAGAAATTGGGCAGATTTCCGTCAGCTCAAAGTATCTTTTTCATTTGAGTTGTGAACCAATGCTATGATTAATCCCATTTATTTAACCTACAGGTTCATAAGCTTTCTGCCAAATTCATTTCATAGAAGTTACGCTTTACTAGTCACTCTACTTTTAAAAGGGAATCAATATTGTTCCCCCTGTGGTTCTCAAGGAAACCGACCCTTAACAATAAATGTTCTCCGTGCTACAAATGTGTAAACACCATGTGTATGGGATTTAACCCCAGATTTAAAAGAAGGAAGCAAAGTTAGAGCCCACATATGTACAAGACTTACGTAGCTGCAATGACCACTTCCTCACTGGTAATCGGTTGCGTGTGAGATCTATCCTGCAAACGACGCAGTCTCCTCTCTACCGCGGAACTTCTTGTAGGTGGTTTAGGAATATTTTTCAATTCAAACGATTTTTCCATTTCCTAAGAGGACATATGTCATAATTAAAGCCATGGAAGAAAAGTTCTACAACAGTACTTTCTTTTTAGCTTTCTTGTAATACAAAGTAGTAAATTGCCCAAATGCCCATTTCTGAACTAGAAAGGGGATGCAATTGCACAGTAAGTGCCACAGAGTTAAAGCTAACTACACAGCTCTCTGCATGACGTTCTTAAAGAATTAGGACTACTACGTAGGCAGACAAAGTTTAAAAAACAAAAAAGTTATGTAGCTTGGACTTGGTTAACTGCATTACACCTCATTCTACTGCACTTTGGCTTCTTCAGCATCTTGTATTTAAAACATTTAACAGCTTTCTATTAAGAAAATGTAATACTTACTCTAAAAAGCAGCCTCTTTGCAGCTACACTTAGTTTGGCTCGGTCATCCATTTTTTCTTCATCTACACAAAGGAAAATATTGGTTTTTTGACTAAATAATTTCTGAATTCCTCAAAAACTGTTTTACTAAGACAAGAAGCACCACAAGCCAATTAGCTGGCTGTTATTCCCTTTTAACAAAAGACTTAGCATGAATCAAATTGAGTAAACTTTACATGTATTTATACATATTGCATCAGAGGAAAATTCTTAACAGGATTTGAGAACAATAGACTTGTCTTCAGGACAGTTCATGTGTTTTCAAGTTATCCAAACAACCTTTTACAAATAATCAAACTTAATTGTATTAGTCTATGACAACACATGGACTAAGACAATAATTAAGCTGAAAGACTGTCTTAAGGGTCACTATTCCTCCCACTGTACAGAACATCTACTTTATACTAGCTGACCATAGAAGATGGTTTCTCCTGGAAGCCGGTCATTCTGATTACCACCTTGTGTCCCCATTTTTCAGAGGCTCAACTAGTATCCTTACAAGCTGAAGTCAGCATACTCCAGATTCAAGAGCCAGCAGAGAATATCAGCTTTCAAATAGCATATGGCATTAAATCTAAATTTAGCTACTTATGAGATTATCTACTTAATTTGTGCCAGATTTGCCGAGAGTGACAAGAGGGAAAAGATGGCAGACTCAATTATATAATTTAATAGCCCGCATCTTGCAACTTCCTTAGCTAGAAAACACATTATCAGTACCAGTTTCACACTATAGTAAAGGGGTTTTTAGTTATTATTCCTAGTGCACTGATTAAAATGTGCAGTTATTTTTCCATCAGCTAATTTATTGTCTAAATCAGAAAAAAAAAAATCCCACCTATGTTTAAAAGTGTTCAGCCATTCCCCACCGTGCCTCCCATATAAAGTTCAGTATCCATAGACAGACTTTTGGATTTAAATGAATTGAAATCAAATCTGTGGTAGGCATGGACCAAAGAAAAGTTGGAATTCAAAGATCCTATATGCAATGATATTTATTTTCAAGTAGACCTTGTCTGCATTATCAAATAGTTTTTCAGTTAAAACAAACCACATTTGTTGCCACTTCTTTGTTATGAAGTATTATAATAACATACCTTCAGCAGTTGGTATTTCTGCATTCAAAATTGACCTAGTGAAAAATTAAACAGAAATAAGTTAGTTAGAAATGAGAGATCAAAAATTAAATTCAAATTCCATCTGAAGTAGCAGGACCTCAAAAGTCTTAAGAGTGGGAAAACTTTATCTGGTTTTCAAGTTTGAACAGTTTCCACTTTGACATCCTTTAATAAAGCAGAAAGACAAGCAATTACAGCCAAACTTAAAATACAATAAAGGAAAATGATTTCCAATTCATCTTGCAGAAGAGTAAAGCCTAAGATTTTCTACCAGCTATTTAACATAAAATATGTAGCTTTAGTGTTTACGAAAAAAAAGCAAATGATAAAGCAGAGTAGATGGAAAGGAAACTTTATGTAAAGCCAAAAGCATTTATCATTAGACAAAACCAGACAGCTATAATACTTTATGATGATTCACTGTTCACCATTTTACATCGGGGGATTTGCAATGAATTGGCTTGTGTTGGCAGTGTTTTGGGGTTTATTTTAGAAGCAGCTATAAGAAATATTTGATTACTTTCAAAGAGAAACAATAACCTTTCAAAATGTTTATGTTAATAAATGAACAACGTCTCTTCACAAGCTCATTCATGTCTACCTGCACCAGAACGTTACACAGAGCTACATACGTGCCTACCTATCTGTCTCCTTTCGTTCTGCTGATGTTATAGGTTGAGTTTTAAATCTCTCAGAAGTCTTTCTATTTTCACCAGGAGAAAAATAGCGCCTCGGCCTTCGTGGCCCTCTTTCACCGTTAGCATTAGCAGACAAAGCGCTACCTGTCGTTGACATCTCAAACCGAGATTGACTTTAAAACCACATGATAGAAAGCGCATAGAAAAGAGAATAGAAGAGAGAAGTAAAGCATAAATGTAAGCATCTCAACAATTCATTAGAAATCACTCTGCATGCTCCTCTGGTAACATGCGCAGACGTACACATTCCAGCTACCCCACATCACAAATTGCACTAGCGAGCAGAAGCACAAAAGCAGGATTCAAACCATCTCAGCCTCCAGTACACACTGGTGAGAGCTAAGCTGTGTGCTTGAAGTGCCGAACACAACTGCTGTTGAGTGTGTGTAATTTTTGCCAAGGACGTGCAAGTTTCACACGAAAATATGTCTGAAATGTCACCTACAGTTCCGTTTTCTTGTTGGCATTAGCAGTCTCCAGAAAGACATTACGGAGCTGGGCAACAGAGACTTTTGTGTCAACCATGCCAATCTCACCGTTTGGTGCATTTGCTTCCACGCTCTCCTTACTTTTAAAAGCTTCTAGCTTAGGAGCCACAGTATAGTCAGACATTGAGCGAGTCAGGACTTTATGCTTTGCTGTCGACACTTTCCAAACAGGAGCTTTTGCCTTGGCAGGCTGCGATACAGACCCACTCTGTATGTACATAACAGCTTCACTCCTTTCTACGTTCTCAGGGGTCTTAAACTGCTGCTCAGAAGCTTGCTTCTTATTGCACTCCAGCTCTCGCTGAACCTCCGAGTTAACTTTCAGCTTGCTTGTGAAAGAGGAACTCCCTGCAGGGGTATCCAGTTCTCCTCCTCCAAAGAAGCCTTCGTGGGTCTTCCCTTGCTTGCGAATCTCAGATGGCAAAATTGGTCTTCTGCTTTTGGAAGTCTGTTCACCCTCCAAGGAATCTTCTTCATCGGGCTTTGCTCCGTAACCAAGTGCCTCTTTCTTTTCACTCTCTGACGCAGCAGCTGCTGACGATTTTGCTAAGAGGCTAACATTGTCTCCTAGGAGGAGGCTACCAACAGAAGCATTTGCTGGTTCTTCTGTTGCCATCAGCTGAGCTGTGTGAGCAATGCCAGCAGGCTGAATATAGCCATGTATTGGTTGGCGGACTGTACTGACGGGCTGATTTACAACCCTATCAAAGGCAGACGTTTCTGTCTGAAGAGGCATGTAGTGGGCTGGCACTGGATGGGATTTTCTCTGAGATACTGTGTCTGTGAGAAGTTCAGGGCTTCCACGAGCACTTTCCTCTTTCACCAGTTTCTCTCTAACCTTTACTCTTTAAGAAAGAAAAAGGATTAAAGCTGTGAACAGCAATATCCAATCTCGGAAGGAACACAAGTGCCTACTGTGGGTACAGACAGCAACATCATATTAAAATAAAAAGCAATCAATATGTAAAAAAAAAATAATCAATCTTGCGAATCCTTTCCTCCCCCGCCCCCAAATCTTAGCAGTAACATTGCTCAGAAACATTCAAGTGATTCACAGGCCCTCGCACATGCACGATTCCTGAGAAGGTAACCGAGCAAGCTCTGAAAACATACAGCATGTTCCCATGAGGTCACAACTGTGTTTGTCAAACAGCACATACACACAGTCTCCAACAAACAAGATGATCTAAACTGCTTTTTATATTATCAAAATGTTGGGTTCAGCCTGAAATTGCAAATTCCATTGGCAATCATATGTCTAGTCAGATTTTTGAAGATGTCTAAACACTGGGCAGATTATGTCATATCAAGATGCTGTTGTACTAAGGGAAAGGGATGAAAAAACATGCTGCAATCTCCACCTAGCCCTTCAGAGACACCAGACTTTTTTTATTTATGCTTTTGTGCATCATATAAGACATCTAAAATGTTACCTGTAGCGTAACCTGTTTCACTAAGTGGGAAAAAACGTTTAAAGTACAAGCCTTAAAGCCCAAAGCGAAACCATGGTGTGGCTGTTGTTCTTCAGAGGACTTGCGGGGAAGAAAAGGATTTAAACAAAAACATCACCAAACAGGCATTCTGTTTGAAAGCATTTCTTTACATTCTAACGTGCAAAACTCCCAAGAACATTCATTCCCCAAAGTTACCTTATTCAGTGTATTTTCTAGAAACAACTCTAGACTTGTGTGACATCCATGCAAAACAGTCGTATTCTACTTTTCGGCACAATGCAACCTCACTGTTGAAAGGCAAACAGAGGAGGCTTTGCCCCGTGACTGCAGCAGCGGGTAACTCCTCCGGCAGCTCCATGGCCACACCGAGTGCTCCCACAGCTTATAGGGCCAGCATTTGTAAATAACTCACACAGTATCGAAACTGAAAGCCCTGTGCTTCCTCTCCTCCCAAATGGCTATAAAAAATTATTTTAATTCTGAGGAAGGAGAGGAACTCAAGTGCAATAGAAGATTAACTCTTTATCTGAAAGTAAACAATCCAGTTCAAAGCATGTGCAATTCCAGGCTTGCTACCAACAGACTTTTGGGAGTTTACATTATTTTAAATAGCAAGATTTAGAAAAAATGGCAAATGAATATCTGAGAGAATAATGCAGGATATCCAAAGGTATCTAAAACAACATTTTTTTCTAAAATTTTGACGTCTCTCTGCGGATTGGTGTGCTTAACAGTGAAATTTGTCAGATTTATCTTGACACAGATATTAGGCACAGAAAGTGTGTTCAGTCTGAAAAAGTGGTTCTTTAAACTACATGTACCAAGCAGAATCCAGAACATCCACACTATTGTTAGTACTGGGTTATAAGAATTATTTTCATCAGGAATGCATTATATAATATTACTGCAATGCTTATGGTGCGCTAACTGTATGCATTATGGGGAGAAAGCAGCTGCTTGTAGCTCTGATCAAGATCTTGCTTTATTTGTCAACATTGTATTTTTACTTGTCTTGTACCATCTCCTTCTGAATACAAGGACTTAATTATATGAAATGCTAAGATGGATTGGCATGTGATATAAAAATCTACTGGTTTGCAGAGTACAATGTAAGATAAAATGAGAAGTTATAAAAATCAGTGGAAGCCAGAATGACCGTAGCTGTAAAGAAGCTAGAGGCATTTGTACTTCTTCATGAAAATACCAATTGGTTGTAAGTTACAATAAAAGCAGATGCTTCAGAAAAGTTTCAAGAGCTGCTTATCCACAAGAAACAACACTTTCTAACTTGCTGCTGTTAAAGGAAAATTAAAGGAAAGTGTTAAATGAGGAGCGAGTAAAGGGAAAGAAAAGGGAGGTTTGTAGTCTGATTGTTAGCCACACAGCTTCATTTTATGATACCTGGAGGGCCAGCTGATAAGTGAAGGTGTGTCCCCTTCTGAATCTTTCTGAAGAAACCATTCAGGTTTTGCTTTCCCTGCACTACTACAGAAAACAGAACTTCAGGTAATTTTGGAGATCTTAGTATATGCTTTCATTGTTTCTCCCGATCTTCCCTCCCCACCAATTTTTTGTTTTCTAATTACTACTCAATTCCAGAGGATTGTTCATGAAAATAAACGCATGGAATATAAATCAGATTGCAATGCGCTAAACTGTGAAATAAACTATCATATGAATTCCACAAACACCTAGAAAGAGTTCTGAATGTTAAATATTCTGCAAAGGTAACTTTACGAAGTGTATGTTGTCCACAATGTGAGAAGTGAAAGCAACTACACAATCTTATTTTTGCCATTCGCCATTGCAGGTCAGTTTGAAGGGTTTATGTAAAGACACCCGAAAAAGTTGCTAAACCCATTCCTTTAATTTGTGGGTTTACGTTGTAAAGACCACTGGGTCCAGAATTAGACAATGTTAGGGGTTGGAAGGGACTTCTAGAGATCAACTAGTCCAGCCCCCCTGCCAGAGCAGGATCACCTACAGTAGGTCACACAGGAACGCGTCCAGGCGGGTTTTGAATGTCTCCAGAGAAGGAGACTCCACAACCTCTCTGGGCAGCCTGTGCCAGGGCTCTGTCACCCTCACAGTGAAAAAGTTTCTCCTCATGTTGAGGTGGAAGTTCCTGTGTTCTAACTCAAACCCATTATTCCTTGTCCTATTGCTGGACATGACTGAAGAGACTGGCAGCTTCCTTTTGACATCTACCCCTCAGATATTTATACACATTAATAAAATCCCCTCTCAGCCTTCCCTTCTCAAGACTAAAGAGCCCCAGTTCTCTCAGACTGTCTTCACAGGGGAGATGTTCAAGTCCCTTAATTATCCTCGTAGCTCTCTGTTGGACTGTCTCCAGTAGATCTCTGTCTCACTTGAATTGAGGAGTCCAAAACTAGATACAGTATTCCAAGTATGGTCTCATCAGAGCAGAGTAGAGCAATAATATAAATTTAATGAAGTTAGAAATTCAGATGCCTATATCATACCTCCTAAGAAATCCTCAAGAGCATCTCGGACCCTTCTCTCCTCTCTAGCCTTGTATCTCAGAAGTTTCAGAAATGTAAATTCTGTTAGCTCAAGCAAAACGGGCTGTCACTAGATGACAAGTGAAAGGAAAAGTTTAAAAACCAAAGTAATGCCCAACCTGATCTTGACTTCATTCTGTTTCAATTTTGGAGCTGGAAGTGTAAAAAGAAACAAGAGCACTACAAATTTTAAAGTCTTGCAGAAAAGTGTGTTTGCAGACTACATATGTACAGATTCTCAGATACCTTCCTAATGCTCAGCAACAGCAGATGACATCAAATACTTTTATCCTAGCAAGCACAGACTATCAGGCCACACTAACACTTACAAACTCCCCAGAGATGACAAGCATCCAGGCTACTTTCCGTTACCCATAGCTACATCTGAAAGAACTACTCACATTGCAGTAGAGCCATTTGGGATGAAAATCCCAAATTAAGCTCCAGGTCATCTACCTCAATTTTTCTCAGCTCTTCTTTTTAATAAAAATACTTGTAAAAGGTCAAATCAATGACTTTTCTTAAGATAACAGTGCATTTACTGCAAATAAGTTTAAATTTGAGAACTCACCTATAGTTGTCATTAATCCAAATCAAGTTTAGAACAAAGTCAAATACCAACTGTTAAAACACTTATGTTTTTCAAAATGTTTTTGAATTCCTAAAGGAAACGACCAAATAGAAGGTAAAAATCTTTCACTGGAGCAGACCTGGTAGCTGGAATCACTTTGAAACAAGCAAACTTCCTTCTCCTCTCTTAATGTGTACTTTGGCACATTTTTATAGTGGGCACGGCCCAAGCAGCAATTACTTATATTTGATCACTCAGTCTTTGAAGAGAGCAGTCAGAAGAATGCAAGCCACGATTTGAATTTAATCAGCCACTTCAGCGGCCAAACGCAGACAATGTCAAATGATACCTTCTCAGCACTCTGTTGTCTTCTCACGGATAGATAATAGGATTAATTATTAAAGCCTAAGACTGAAGGCACAAAGCTTTCATACGTATTCTAAAGCAAGCTGTGTTTATTTTCCAGTTTGAACTCAAATTTCAATTTAACAGTTTTTGAACCAATATCATGTGGAACTGACTTCAAAACAGCAGACAGCTGGAAAGCTGGCGTTAGCGCTCACCACACAGCAACTTTAAACAGACTGCATGGAAATAGGCAACTACTTCCTAACCACCGGAGGTTATTCTTAAATCTCTGAATATCACACCAGTGAGTATACACTGGCACTGGAAGTTGTCAAGGGTATTAAAATGAAGAATGGGTCCTTGGCAACGTGGCCTCTAAAATACTAACCACTGCCCACTTGCATATCCAAACAAGAGTCCAAATCTTAAGTTTAAAGTCTTGGTTGCTGTAAGAGCTAAATCACATCTTGGTGTGCACAAATGATTTCCTTCAAAAGGTAAGACAGACAGTAATTGCGGAAAGCTTGTTTTATGCAAATACCGACCAATGCTTTGCCCAGAAAGAATCTGAAATTAGTGATAATGCAGTCAACAATTTGTATTAAGTTATGATTTATTCACAGTATCATAGAATAGTTTGGCTTAGAAAGGACCTTTAAGAGTCATCTAGTCCAAAACTCCTGCAGTGAGTAGGGACATCTTCAACTAGATGTCCAACTTGACCTTGAATGTTTCCAGGGATGGGCCATCTCCCACCTCTATGGGCAACCTATTTTCCAGTATTTCACCACCCTCATCCTGAGGACTGCTCTCAATCCTTTCATCCCTCTGCCTGTATTGATACTGGGGTATCTGTACAGGTGCACTTGGCCTCACTGAACTTCATGAACTGAACTTCTTGAGCCTGTCCAGGTCTCTCTGAATGGCATCTCTTCCCTCAGGTGTGTCAACCACATCACTCAGCTTGGGGTCATCCACAAACTTGCTGAGAGTGCACTTTATCAATGACATAGAGAGTGGGATCAAGATATTAAGCAGCACTGGTCCCAGCAGAGACACCTGAGGGACACCGTTTGTCACCTATTTCCATCTGGACATTGAGCCATTGGATGCCACCATCCAACCAATTCCTCATCACTCATCAAATACGTATTTCCTCAACTTAGAGAGAAGAATGTTGTGGAGTACAGTGTCACAAGCCTTACAGAAGTCCAGATAGATGACATCCATTGCTCTTCTCTTGTCCACTGATCCAGTCACTCCATCGCAGAAGGTGACTAGGTTGGGTCAGGCAGGACTTGTCTTTGGTGAAGTCATGCTGGCTGTCTCAAATCATCTCTCTATGCCTTAGCAGAGTTTCTAGAAGGATCTGTGCCATGATCTTGCCAAGCACAGAGGTGAGGCTGATAGGTCGATAGTTCCCAGGGTCTTCCTTTCTACCCTTTCTAAAGATGGGTGTAATGTTTTCCTTCTTGCAGTCACCAGAGACTTCACCTGACCCTCATGATTTTTCAAATACCACAGAGAGTGGCTTGGCAACTACATCAGCCAATTCCCTCAGGATTCTGCAATGCATCTCATCGGGTCCCATAGACTTCTGCATGTTCAGGTTCCTCAGGTGGTCACAAACCCAACCTTCTAGTCCCCATCTTGTGGTCCATCCACTTAAGTGGCATAGGAAGAGAGGTTGCCAATGAAGACTGAGGCAAAAAAAGTTGTTGAGTACCTCAGCCTTCTCACCTGCTGTTACCAGCATCACAGACTTGCTGATCTGGGGGGAGGTACACCTTCTTTGACCTGCCTTTTCTGGCTAACATACCTGTAGAAGCCCTTATTCTTTGCATTCCATACCAAGTTCAGCTCCAGCTGCGCTTTAGCCTTCCTGACCCCACGCCTACACAACCAGGCAGTGTGCTTGTGCTCTTCCCAGGGTACCTGTCCCTGCTTCCACTGCCTGTGCAGTTTCTTCTTGCTCTTCAGTTTGACCAGCAGGTCTCGACTCACCCATGCCAGTCTCTTGCCTTCCTTGTCCAATCTCTTACACCTGGGAATCAAGAGCTCTTGCACTCTATGGTAAGCATCCTTAAAGATCTGCCAGCTCTATTCCTGTTGCTTTTCCCCCCACTCTCACTTCTTAGTATGGCACTACTGCAGAGTGGAGAAGTAAAAACAACCATACCACAAATGGCATGGAAACTCCCTGATGGAAACAATCTGAAACTCTTCTAACATGAGAACCCACCTGAAAATGAATCTTATCACTTCATTATGTGGAAATGGAGAACAAGTAAGTTTCAAAAAAAGATGACCTTGTAGAAGGCGCCTGTCTCCAGTGATTGCCAAACGCAGCTGATCCCTTAGTGTTTCATAGAATCACAGAATGGCCTAGGCTGGAAGGGACCTTAGAGATCATCTAGTCCAACGTCCCTGCCATGGGCAGGGATGCCTCTCAACTAGATCAGGCTACTCAAGGCTCCGTCCAACTTGGCCTTGAACACCTCCAGGGAGGGGGCAGCCACAACACCTCTGGCCAATTTATTCCAAAGTCTTGCCGCCCTTGTACTTAAGAATTTCTTCCTAAGGTCCAATCTAAATCTGTTCTCCTTTAAATTAAACCCATTTCCCCTTGTCCTATCAGTGGACACTCTTGTAAAAAGTCCCTCCCCAGCCTTCCTGTAAGTTCCCCTCAGGTACTGGAAGGCAGCTATTAGGTTCCCCCGAAGTTTTATCTTTTCAAGATTGAACAGTCCCAGCTCCCGCAGCCTATCCTCGTAGAATGTAGCATTAGATCTTGTAGGGACATAGGATTTTTAACAAATGAAAAGGTATGTCCCCATTAAAAAACAGCTTCATTAATTATTTCTATTCTCCTCAACTTTTGCAGCATCTTTTATTAAAGGAAAAAATAGGTAATGTCAGAAGTGACAGCTTTAATAAGAAACAACTGCAACTTGTGAATGATTTCATAATGCCTTCAGCCTGTTTAGTCTGAACTTGCAATTGGTTTATAGAGCTGCATTAGAAAAAACACACTCCTTAGCTAAAAATTAAAGAGCTTAATGTGGAGAAATCAGGTCTCCTTATAAAAGGCTAACCTGTGAATGAGCAGATTCAGGTGTCTCTCTATAGCCAGCACGCTGTTTCACCAGGGCAACTCCTATCCCACCAGTGCTGCATGCAGTGCAGCTTTTGATTTGGGAAACAATCTAGAAGGCATTTCATTGTTCAGTGTTTCATTGGCTTCCCCTCACAGAAACAGACTAGGACTGCTTTTGAGAGTAAAGAAAATAAGGCCCATTTTTACACTGCAGGAGACACATTCTTAGCTCGAAAGTTTGGGCTATTCTCTTTGCTTTCTTAAGGCTGTAAACTTTGTCCCTTTCTTTGCCTTATAAAATAAAGACAACAACCTGTTTCAATATCTCTTCCTATCAGTAATTGGATTAGTCAAGAGATTTATCTCAAATTGAGAATTTGAAGATAAGAGATAATATTTTGTACTATATAAGTTGAGACTACTTCAGAAATTAGTTTTTTCGAGCCTGGAATAACCCAGTAAGCTGAAGGAGTCAAGTCAACTCCTTGTACTGAAACTACTTGTTTCAGTACAACTCTGGTCTCTGTTGTATAGATGACCCTGCAATGACTATTTTCCTTACTGTAGGAGCAGAACTGCAAGCTTAAAACATAAGCTAAATAAGATGGTACTTCTTAAGTATGTTGACTTACTTTCCCTCTGATGGCTTTTTTGAAATTATAATATTCCTTTAAAATTTTGGCTTAATTGGAGGAGTCCAATAATAGCTAATACAGCCACGTATCCATGCAAAAGAAGGTGAGCAGGATTAGAAGTCACCTGAATAATGAAAAATTATGAAAAAAAATAAAAGATGACTACTGATATGTCCTATGCAAAAAAGTGAAAGAAAAAAGAAGGCTAAGTACATCTGAGCAGTTTACAGGCACTGTAAACAGATGAGTTAATCTACCAGGTTGTTAAACTTCGATGTGGAAGATTGCTTCCTCACACAAACTCGAAGGTATGCTTATGAGAATTAGGTAAGAAAGGCTTCAAGAAACAAGAATTAAGTTTTGTGATTTTAATTGGCAGGAAAAAAAGAAGTCCAGTTAAGATAGCTTCATTCCGAACCTACTGCAAAAAAAAATGCCAAAAAGTGTAAATGGTTTGGTTTACACCAATTCATTTCATTTTTTTTAAAAACTATCAGCACTGCTCAGCATGATGTGGATGTGTTTATAATTAAGTTCTCATTACAGTCCACATCACTCTTAGCTGCAACATTTTAAGTTTCTGCAGTTGTTATCTTCCATCTATCCACCTACCTAGAAAGTAAGGAATCTTACTCAGGGAAAAATTACACTTAAAAAAATATTTCTTAGGTCATGCATAGTTTTCAGTCACCATAATACTCTGACAGTCTGTTTTTGCACTACAGTGTGAAACCACAACATGAAATTAGTGAAAACTACTTTTTTTTTTTCCCTTCTGGAAGAATCTGCTTACCCTGTTGCTGGAGGAAATTTGTCAAATCTGAAGTAATTCTGCATACCATGAGGGAGGCTACGTTTTCCAAATTCATCCCAGAATTTTAACTCTCCCCTCTGCCCCACCACAAACATACCTCAGTATTATCTGAAAAATTAACTATCACAGTTCAAATGGGTTTTTACAACTTTCACGGCAGGAAAACAAATCAACTACTATTTCAACTGACTCAAGACAATTTTCAGCTTTTAACTCTGAAAAATCTTTTCCTTTGGCAGAAGCCATCATGAAGGTATTTAAATCTTCACTGAGAAACAACTTGCCTTTACTTGGAAACTCCCATCCAAACAATTACAGGATATGGAGGACAAAAGTTAAAAGGTTTGCTTCAACAGGTTATGGAAAAAACTAAAGAAAGCAGATTTAGAACCATAACTGCTTCAGTTTCTGGTCTGTGTAAGTAACTTAAACATCAGTTACTCCACTCCCTCCACTAAGGGCCTAATTTTAGCATAAATTCTATAAATATAAAGTGAAACCAAGGACATATCTAATAACAGAAATAGATACCCACTTCCCTGTATCAGAAATGTACTGTGATTCAATAACCCAACCAGTCCAGCCCGAGACATCCAAAGCCACTAAATGCACTCATAAATATTGTAGACACTACTACTTCAGGTGACTATGGTAAAGGAATCTACTGTACAAACAAACAAATAAAAACCATGCTTACCTTTGTCGGATGTTACTGTGCAAGGGCTGGTCATTCTGCAAATGGATTGGTGAGGCTGCCCGCTTTGGTGAAGAAAGGGACTCTCTGGGAGTTTGCTTTGGTGGTGTTGGCACTTCATTATAGGAGGAAGATTCTTGTGCAGAAAGTGAAAGGGAGACAGAACTATCCAAGGTTGCTGAAGGGTCAGAAGCCTGTCTAATGGCACTGTCATCATCTGCTTTCCTAACACTCTTTTCATTTGAGAGGTCTTCTTTATCTGGAACACCATCTTTTTCATGGCTGGAGTACTCTTTGGATTCAGAAATCCCACTCTTTGACTCCCTTGTCTCAGTTCTGGACAAATACAGGCAGCCACAGTCCTTGTTTTCATCATCTTGCCTTTCACTTTTCACTGTCTTTCTTTCCACGCTGTCAGGATCTTTCCTTGCCCGTGTATATCTGGATGAGTAGTCAGAATCCAAATCAGAATCAAGAGATAATCCATACTTTTCTGCTAGCTGGCGTCGCCTCTCTGCCTTGTACCTAGCTATTCTTTCTGCTTTTGACTCCAGTTCCTGGACATCCATGTTTCCTGTACTATACAAGGGCTCTGTGTTACCTCCTGTGATTTCTGCTCGGTATCTGGATGATCTGGGTTGTTTTTCTACAGAATCTGAGGTTTCCTCCTCTTCATTTGATCTTCCTGTCAGAAGTACAACATTCATGAGTAAGTCCACCCCAAACCTCTGAGTATTCTACCCAAAATTCACAGAGTGAACTAAAAGACTCCCATTTTCTTACAAATCAACGTGTACTAGTAACCGCACAGACATATTGCTTTTTTGCACTTATGACTCTAAAACCACAGACAAATGATTAAGGAATGTGTATTAGTTGTAATTCTTTAAGATTCTCATAGCAAATTACTGTTGTTATAAAACAATATGGATGTTCAATCTTTTTCAAATAAGAAAACTGGAGAACTAAAAGACAAGTTAAAAAAGAAAACTTGACCGCAGCTCTTCTATAAAACTCCTCTCCATGTACGGCACAAATCATAGAGTAGTAAACACGAAATAACTAAGCCAGTGCAAGACTGCCTGACATATGCCACTTACCTAAGTGGGGACTGTATGGATCAGTTGCACGCATATATCTTGGTGTATCTTCCTCTAGTAAACGGTGTGTGACTGATCCTGGACAGTTTTGTAGAAGCATAGGTTGTGTGTCATTTTCAATTCCCTCTAAACGTCTAGCTATTCTCTCTTTCCTGAAAAAGATGTGAAAAATGTGAAATCAGGCATCTTTGAAAGTTTGAAGGGAGAGTTTCTAAAAGGAGGTAACAAAACAAGCTATGTGTTTTGTTTTACAGGCCAAAGGCTTTTTCTTTTTACCTTTTCATTTCCAAAAAATCTTGGTTGTTTGGTTCAAACAGTTTTCTTAATTCTGAAACTGAGATAACAAAAGATTATACAGTTTATAAGCTACTGTTTCAGAAACTCACAGAAACTTGCTAAAATCCTTTAGAATAAGAAGGAACAGTCAAATAAAGTAAGAGGTTTAAAACAGATTTTGTCAGGGAACAAGCATTTTCCTCTTGTTTTCCCAGTTTATTACAATTGCGTTGTTAAAAGTACATTAGGCACATAGGTATAAACACCAAGGAGTCCTCTCCTCCAGGTACGTCCAGGCTAAGCTAGAATTGCTATGCCATCCTAGCAGTTTTCAACATCTAGTATAAACTGGGCAAGTAGTTAACTAAGGTAAAGCTTACACACTATTGCAATCCATTTCATAACCAGGTAGTATGGAATTACTGCACAAAGGCTGGGGTCTGACTATGTTTAGAGGGAAACAGTGTTCCCTAGTCCTTACTTTTCTACATTCCCTTATACTGAGCAAATACCAAGAAACCCAGTGACTCATGTTTGGGGTGAAAATTACCATATATCCCCATGATATTCTTGCATAGAATTTTCTACTTAAGTAACTTTCCCTTGTAGTTTTAATTGGACATACTTTCCCTCTCTCCCCCTAAGCTGTTTGGTGGTGTTATGTGCTAGTACACAGCTGTCACAGTTCACAAAATAGTAGTGAACCAACAGGAGGCATGATAGATGAAGTAATCCCTATATATACACGCATATGTGCACAGTTATCAGGGATGTTTGCAAACCACACTGGAGTAGTGAGTGCTACATAAACAAGTGTGGTGTGACTTCTTACCACCAGGAAGAGAAGCCTTCCAGGCTGTCAAAGGATGCAGCAGACTCTGCGTGTGCCTGACAATCTCTTCCCCCCTCTTTTCCACATCATTGCTTCAGTGCTAAAAGCTGTGTGCATCTATTCTACTGCAATGAACCTTGGGGGTTCTAATCCTGTTGACCCAGGGATCAAAAGGTAAAGCAAACTAAAGTGTACAGCCTGCTAAATCAGCCCTAAGTCATCATCAGAAACGCCCGATGACTCAGAAGTGTCTAGCAGACACTGTCCCACACCACTGCAGGAGTAAATCTATCAGCTTTTTTCCCTACCAGACTTCATCCCTCTACATACTTAGAAGATAAACATTACTGAAACACCACCCTTTTAAAGGTCAGGTGCACCTTCCCTCCCTTTCCTCTACTGCAAGCACTTACATGCATAATTAAGTCAGGATTTCAGTTTTGCTGACACATATCCAGGAAGTTTGCTCTAGTCAATACCGATGCTCATACCTCATATAGATAGATACTATTGGCATTGACGATCATATCAACCTTATGTGCTGAAAAGCCACTAGGACTAGAAATAAAATATCTTGGATCAGCAAAAAAAATCTGATCATGACTACTCAGTACAGCAAATGAATGAGGTATGAGTACAGTGAAAGGCTACAGATGAGTGCCTACTGTGATTAACATGGGAAGAAATCAAATGGGCCACTCTCCAAAACAACTCCTTCAGTCTACATTCTTACAGACTCAAGCTATCCACTTCAATTTCTGAAGTTAGCTCAGATTGTTATCAGGCCCTAAAAAAAAAAAAAAATCTAATATGCATACATTGGAAGCAACCGGCCGTACAGAGTAGCTAAGTACGCAGTTACTTAACAGTGCTAACCCAAGGGACACCTCTTCCATGCCTAGTTTCAGCACCTGCAGCAAAGCAGACTGAAGCCTATGTTGTTGACCAGGTTGACAATACAACATAGCCACTTCAAGTCAGCAAGCTCCAGGCACTGGAGACAGATGGGAACCTGACTTAGGCAATAGAAAACTTGCATCCTGAACCATCAATAAAGCAAAGGTCAGCCCTTACATTGTGTTTTCACAGACTTTTCTCTCAGTGCAGCAGTTCCCGCCTGCTGCTCTGCTTACAAGCTCTGCTAACAGTATAACTGCATTAAACAAAGAAATTACCCGTATGAAACCAGCCTTCATCTCACCGCTGCACCAAAGGGAATGATTTCGCATAAATACTTTGCTCCCACCTCTGTCAAATCTACTCCTGTTTAAATTTGCTCCTCTGGCTATGAGAGTTTTTCTGTTCCATCTGCTGGCGATACGTACATAAAATGGTCAAAACAAACCCCATAATTGTTCTGCCACTTCAGACAGGTCAAAGGCCTCCAGAGCTCACAGTTAATAAAACTGCATTCCATCCAAATCCTGATCATTTTTCTTCCCTAGTCACCAACTTACATAGTCCCTAAAGCCATCATCAGAGAACAGGTCTTTTACACAACTCTAAAGCTTACTTTCATATACTAAAGTCTTCTTTATTTCCCCCCTCTCCAAAAAAGGAAACTTGACTATAAGTTGTGCACATACAAGAAATGTGGAACATCCAAAGAACTCCCAGGAGCATTAGCTCAACACCCTCTTGCTACGTGTTAGCTGAAGTTCCAAAGATTCTACTACCGCTTTGCAGTCCTAAAAAGAGCACTGGCCTCATGAAGCATCTCTCCAACACCTTCCCAAACAAGATGGGACAAAAATAGCATGGGACTACTCTATGCTGCCTTACACTTTTTCCACACTTGAGATTCCAGACAGTAATTTCAGTTAGGTTGGTCAACATCTGCAGAGTTTTTTTGTGAAAGCAGTTTCAGCAATATTCTTCTGGAGAAGTGGGGAAAAGAAGAACAAAGAGGCAAAAAGAAAAAAAAAAAAGAAAAAAAAAGTAAGAATTCTTCTACTCTAGTGATTTCTTTCTGCTGAATAAAATACTTGATGTCAAAACGTGAAAGCTAGTTGGGAGAAATTTCAGTCCCAAGGATACTGGTTGGCCCTTGCACGCTTAGGTAATGGGGTTTCTCTTTTTCAGTTTGCCATTTGAATATGTTGGCGCCAATTTCCGATCTGTTCATGGGACATTTTCCCACATGACCATAAGAAACTGTATCATTTTAAAGACACTCAGCATTAAAGAATAACAACACTTCTCCCCAAAAGGCAGCACAAAGATCTGATTGACCACACACAAAAAAAGACTAAGAAGCTTTAAATAATTAATTTAACAGTTTAAGATCCTTATCTAAGTTACTTCATGCCAACACACTTTGTGAGCACTGTTGGCCAGTATAGTTAAGGGCAACAGGAGGAACAGCCACAGTTCAAGAACATCTTTGAACTTCAGTCTTTATTTCAAGATGGTGAGCAGCATGCTATGGTAGCACACCCTGTAAGGTAGACTGTCAAGACAAATCTTAGTTTTGGTAACCGTAGACCTTCCGAGCAGAATTTACCCTATAATATCAGTATTTAGCAAATTATTCAAAGTCTTGTCCCAGAGTAAAAACCAAAACCTACATTTGGAGCGCACCTTACAAGAATGTTTAAAAAAACTCCTTAAATTAAGGTGAAAGATTTCTTATAGAATTCAGAAATCTTTCAGAAACATTTGTTACAGAATATAAATATGTTTTTGCTGGAAGCCTTCTTCAATAACAGGGGATGCATGTGGATAAAGTTGCAGGCATGTGATAGCAGTTTTATTTTTAAAATACAGAAGCTGTAAAAACTAAATCAAGCCTTCCATAAGTAGGAGAGAGTGAGCACCCATCTTCCTAGTAGATACTGAGCACATACATTTGTGAAGCCTTAACAGACATGGATCAAAAGTTTACCTGCCAGAGGCTTGATTTCTCAGAGATAACAAGTGACCGTTGCAACACAAATTTTAACACAATAGCAAAGCCTACCAGCCTTGTTCCTCCACTCCTACAAACCAGGCAGGAGAAGCATTTATCTTCCATTTATGCTAGCATGCAGCAATGTGTGAGACTTCAGCTAGACTCTCTGAACCTCAGTTCAGTCTGTATCAGTTGAAAGCTAAATGTATTCCTCCAATTTGCCAGCCTGTGCAAACTTGCATCAAAGTGAGGCCCTAGACGGGACAGATAACCTGGACTTTCCAAAAGTGTTTGGCCTCAGGCAGTCCCTGCAGAATGTAACCATCAGCTCCCGTTGCTAACTTTTTCTTAAGTCTTGTACACACCAAATCTGATGCCTTTCTTACAAGAATAACTTCTTAGGAAATAGAGACATCTTGGAATAGAAATTAGTTCACCGAGGAGCAACTTAGAGAGATAGTTTTTCAGATGAAGGTTCTCACAACTAATTTGTCAGCCAGCATGACTGCAAGGTTAAATATATGGAATAATGAGGGAACATGTATTATAGACTAGTGCTCTCAGGAAGTCTGTATTGTGTATGTGCATATTACTCTACTTCATCATTGTATCCTTAAAGTGTCTTCTGGAATATCTGCAATGATTATATTATAAAATACATTCTAAAAGCTCTTCTCTAACTGGACTCTGCACCAAACAACATTAAAAGAACAATCCAGTTTCATTACATTGGGATTAATGCATCTGGCCTCAGTTTGTTTGAAAAGGGTAAATATCATCAGAATACATGCACGATTCTAATCTAAGTTCTGAGATCCACAACAACCCTGAGTGACAGAAACATACTTATGCCAGTTATACAGTCAGTCAAATGTCACCCTTTATTAATCAAGAAATATTTTCAAGCAGACTGTGATTTCCTCTGACTCATGAGAACCAATTCTCACCTTTGCCTCAACCATGTCAAAAGATAAAAATGGAAATGCTGTTTTCTTCATAACTTATTCAGACTAAGACAGAAGCTTGAAAAAGAAAAATCCCCAAATCCATACTTAGTACAGGTGCTTTAGAATGCAAGACTAAAATTCAGTGTGTAGTCAGCTAGTCACGAAAGCACAGTGATTCTACCAACCACCAAAGGGGAGTAGAAAGAACTATGATTACAAGTCAATATCTTTGAATTTGTTATTAATCTAACTGTTCAAAAAAACCTGTCTGAAGTTTTGAATTTCAACTACTTCTTAAGTTATTAAAAACTAGCTAAGTAAAGCTGAACTTTATGAAGGGGGATATAACAAGGCCGTGTTAAGGAGCATTGTGGTTCGTCCCATTTCATGCCCTATGCATACTTCACAGGGGAAATAAAAAGAAAACCATCTCATTTACAAAACATCTGTGCCTAAAGCAATTTTAACTGTGCCTTGCACTTGCATAATCTAAACTTCACATGTTAAATTACCATTTGGGTTCATAATGTGTCTCCCTTACCTACCTTTTGGAAGTACTGCTAAGAGATTAGCATCAATATCCTTTGTGCTGTTTGCAAGTTCTTCTTTATCTTCAAATGAGAACTCCTTCTGAAAACTGAAAACAACATCTGGTTTACAGAACTGTGGATGTTTCTGCTACAAATCAAATAAAGCCAAGATGTAACCAATTTACTGCAAGATAGTCTTACAGTGATACCAAAGAAAATATTTTCCATAAGGACGAAATAAGAAATAACCCCAAGAAACTCACAAAGCCAAACCCAACATAATCTGAAACTTGTTTGGAACTGACTGTGACACATATTTGCATTGAATTACTGACTAGAGACTGCCTTCAAAATGCTCTATTAGCAATTACATTTGAAATAATCTATATCAAATGGTTCTCCATAAGTCTTAAAACATATTTCACCAAATGCAGTACGGTACGTACACTCCACCTATAAGCCTTCTGCATGACTGACCTACTGTTGTTACTGCACTGATTTCTGGATCTTTTACGGCTGATACGACACTAATATGAACAGTAGATCATTTAGTTTTATGTCTTCCCTTTTCAAAGCAGCAAAAAATGTCCATTTATCTTAAAAAAATATTTCTTTAAATACATTCATTAAATATACAAATTCAAACTGTAACATGTAGGTGTCATAACGGTCTAAAGTAGATACTGTCTAGAGAGACTTTTTGTGGAGGAAGTGTTCCTCCTCATGGGTAGATAAAGTGAGATTTTTCTCTTCAGTTATTAAAAAGAGAGAAATACTGTATTCTACCATTATGACTTCTAAACTATCCCAAATGGGAGTAAGAAAACTTACACTCGTCTTAAAACCTTTAGTAAACTGCTTAGACAGGTGTAACAGATAGAGATACCCACAGTGATCCTAGGTTCTTCATTTTACCATGATAGTGAAGTGCCATGCATTTTACTATCATTCTGATAAGACAAATTGCATAGTCTTGGTGTTGGTAAGTCCCTCCTTAGGCCAGTTTTTAAACGTCCCTTTAAAGAATGGCATAGCCTTTCATCAAGGGTATTTGGTTAGGAAAAAAAAATAATAAAAAGAAAAGTCTGTACTCCCTATTCCAGAAGAATACTTCTCATTGAAAAGAGTTTTAACATATACTAATAACATTTTGCGTGAACTCCAAGAATTATTTTCCTTTTTACTGCTTATAAATAATATTCCTTTGTAAGACACCAAGGACAGAATAAAAGCCCTGAAATGACAGTAACAAAACTGGGCTGTGTCACCGAGCCACCTGCTGCAAATAGTCTCCAACAACTAGACTTACAGAAATGATTTCAGGTACTGCCAAGACAAGCAATGTTAGTCAGTAAAGAAAATAGCAAATAGAAGATGAAAAACTGCAACAAATTATCCATTACAGAAAACTTCATTTCCTTACAGCACAAAGAACACTGTAATGGAACTAACCAAAACCCGAAAGAAAATTCTAAAAAATTGCACACAGCAGCCACAAGCAAACGGGCTTGTGTGTCATCTGAGACCAGGCAGAGACTCAGACAGTTCACCACACGTTTCTGCGTGCCTAACCCCACACTGCCAACACTTGCGATTCTTATTATACTCACAATATGTTATTTTCTTACAGACGCAGCTTCTGGAGAACCCCTAGGTGGAGAGATTCCCAGTTTCCACTGGAAAGCAGTTTCTACTACTTTTGGCTGAGGATGAGTTTAAAAAATGCATTGAAAAATGGCCTATGGCTATAAATCAAAATCAAAATTTACTTTGTCAAAACAATTTGATTACTTAAGACTTATCTCAAAAGTGCTGAGGGATCCGGCTCATGACTTTTGAATACCTGGGCTTTATTTAGCAGCATCTCCAATTGCTTCCATAATGCTTGTGACAGTGCAGCACCTTAAGTTCCTATAAACATGGGATTCTTTACAGAAAAGCATTCACTCACACAGCAAAATGTTTAACTGTGCACTAACATCCACAGCTACGCCTCAGTGCCACACAAGTTTCTAAGGGTAAAATCATATTGGATCAGGATGGTACTAGCCCACTGGTTCTAAACAGAACTGTATTACTGGATTGCTGGCAGATCTTCAACAAACTTCTCAATACTATAAACTAGTCAGGTTCATCTCTGCCTCTTCCTCCAAGCTCCAGGGAGTTCCAGGGACTCTGAAGCCACAAGCCCTGTAAACCCAGTCTAAATGCTTTTCACTGGGTTTCCATCCATTTGTTTTCATGCCAGTATTGTTAGTTACCTTATTCGTTCTTCTTTAACAGAAGTTTTCCACATCTGCTCAGGTTCCTCGAGACAGACTCTCAGTTTCACTGATTATCTGTAAAAATGTTTTCTACCTATTCTAGTTTTAAGTCATCTTCTTTGTATATGGTGACCAGGGCTGGACTGCTTGATTCCAGACCTGAGCATTAGCAGGTTCTTATAAAAATAGGAATTTTAATAGAGAAAGCATTATCATATGACTAGCCAGATGAATGTGAGCTCTGAAACACATTTGCCTTTTATATCTACACTATATTGGTTGCTCAGTCCTGCATGAGAAAGTAATATGCCAGGGCTTTGTTTTCATCAGTTGCAAGTGGCAGAAAAATTTATCAGCCCCCAATGCACAACTGTGCACTTAATATTATTACATTACATCCTTTTTCTATTACTCCTCAAGGTCATGCAGTTCTTCCTGTATGTGAGCTCCCTCCTCCCTTGCACTGAGGGTGGCTTCCAACCTTTGCTCACTGGCAGATTTTATCAAGCTTCTTTTAATAACGACAAACTTCTTAAGTTTAACCCTCACTGGGCTACACAGCATCACAGGTTATCTGCTTTGTGGAAGTTCCTTCAGCGTTTCCCTTATGCTCTTTTTTTTCCATTTCCCTCTGAAGTTTTATTTACTTCTTTATTTTTAAATGAATAACTATATTCATCTACTATTTTATCCACAAATTAGAAGTTTTTCCTCTTCAGATGTATTTTTGCTCCCTCTTTCACAGCTGCAGGTGGCATTGCTTGCTTTCAATATTCATATATTAGAAACACAAAATGTTTTAAAACAATGTAGCAATTCCATTGCTTTCACTTGCACAAAGAATTCAGAGACAGAGCACTGCTGTGAAGATGAAATAGTCAAGCCAAACAATTGGTATTTATAGATACATATATAGAATTAGTTCTAAAAATGAAAGTAGGCACATTTAGGACATGTCACAGTATTCAATAAGAACATTCATTAAGAATCTAAAATGAGTTGGAACAATGTTAAAGCAATTCCAAATAGTAAAATAAATAAATAAATAAAATATTACAGGACACTGCTCAGAATTCTGAGCAGATTGCAAGCAGCAGCACCGAGACTTTCTGCATGTAACAGTCCGGCTATGTACATTTACTCTTAAAATAACTTAAAGCATATATGGGTTTTCCTAAGTGAAAAAAAAAAAAAATAGAAGTTTGCACAAACTCTTTGTTCTCAAAGTCCCTGTTAAATCTGGATACTGAAAGAGGAACTTCTCCTTTGCTTGCCTGAAATACAGCCTCTGATCATGGTTCATGAAATGCAATCAACAGCACCAGGTCCCACAAGTTTGTTTCACACAGGATTTGTGTGTGGTTTGGCCTCGGGTACCCAACAAACTCATTAAGCTTTCCAATGTTCAGGAACTCATATGATTCCTATTACAACACAAGCAATAATACTTCACATCCTCAGAAGTTATTCTTTAAAAACAATATATAACGTGGCATTAGTAGAGAATCTGACAGTCTCAGTAGTTCTACTGCTCTTGCAATTTCCAAAGTAAGTACAGACTGCTTCTATACATCAGGGATTCCAGACTAAAAACTTCACCTGCTGCAGCAGCAGCATACAGTTTCTAAATAGCTGTCCCACTAACCTAGTTACACGCCCAAAAGCAAGCAGAAGTTTGATCCAAATGCCACTGGTAACACTGCCCTGCCATCTGGATCAAAGCTATGGGATATACTGAGATTTTGTATACCTACTTGTATACCTGCCAGCTAGGTGCTTGGCATTCACTTTTCCTGTCTTTCTCTGCCTCCAGGAGAATTTCTTTCCCTGTACACTTACACTACGTAAAAGAATGTTCATATATCCTACAGTCACAGCAGTCTCTACTACCTTCTTTTCTACTCTCCCCTACTTGTCTTCCATGACGCAACCCGTATTGTGCACCTATGCCTTCCACCTCTCTACAGTACCTAAGAAACAACATGATGGGGAACCAGGTGCAGTCCAGAAGGTGCAAGCTGACCAAAAAGATGCTTGCAAAGATAAGCCTGGGTGCCTAAGGCTGGTGGACTCCTGTGCAGCTGGTTGCTGGGGCAAGAGTCAGTTTCCCATTCCCTAACCTGCTCTCTGTGCCATCATGAATGAGTCCAGAAAGCACAAAGGCGGACACCAAAAGCAGGTGGAACGAGGGCGGGAAGAGAAGGAATGTGACTTGCCACCCTGCTCAACTGTGAACAGTAACCCCTTACTCAGCCTGGTGGAGCTGTGCCCTAAGACTGCAGGCACAAGGCAGCACGGCCCTGCAAGGAAACAGCAACGTCACTTCTCCATTCGTCCCCGCGGTGGCCCCCTCCCATGTGCTGACAAAGCTTCTTGCATGGCTGTATAATTAATTCACCCACTTCAGCCACCTTCTTTCTCAGGCAGATCAATTTTCCAAGCTGGTTCACTAAGTGTCTATACTGTGTCTGTGCCATGCAAGGGAAAATAGGTTTTGCAGTGGCAGGAGGCTCACTGCAGAATGGGAATTCTCCTTTAGTGATGCCAGCTATAAATCCTCACTTCACTTAGAAGATGGTGTTTCCAATTCCTGTTCAGAGCATCTGTTTTATGCCAAAATTTGGTCCTGTGAAAGGGCCAATGATAATTCTCCCTGACAAAAGAATAAATGTAGATTCAAGTAGCAAATCACAATCATGGAACCAGTCAATTTTCACCAGGCGAGAAAAAAACTGATCTTACCTTAACGCCCTTTTCCTTTGGAGCAATCGTGAACATTTAAATCTGACTGAGTTTTCTTTGTCAAAATCTGTGAAATGAAAAAAAAAAAATACCCACACTGTAGTGAAGAAGCTTTAATAAACAGGGAGCTTTTAGGAAACTAGGTTATAGTCACCAAAACCAGTCCTTTTCCACTGGAAAGGCTGTACGAGGATCTTCCCTCTAGTTAAAGTCCAATACGGTGATAAACCAAAGCCTTGCACAAAATGCATGCAAACTGTAAACATATCAAAAGTGCCAGCGCTTTACAGAACTGCCATGTTCTAATCTCAGTATTCATGGTGTAGCACTACAGCCTACAGCTATCGCTTGAACTCCTTGACTCAGTTTCCTGGCTCATCAAATGTGCAGTAGACATGTTTATGAAGCACTCTGCAAATGAGAAATGCTGCAAGCGTCAAAGAGTCTTTTCTGGCTGCAGGGTAGCAGTACCATAAAAACTGCCTATTCACTGCAGAAGTCGGAGATGCCCAGCTGAGAATATGTTGCAACAATAGTATTACATCATTCATGACGGAAACGCTTCTGAAGGTTGTCTACTGTTTGGAAGCTCTCTTATTTTTCTGAATAGCCTTAGAACATGCCTACTTTTGGAGTAGGACATGTTTATACTCAGAGCAAAGCTGTGCCAGATCCAGCCTTATCTTCATGTTACAAATCCACTAAGTTCCCCAAACCTTTGAGAACCATAACAAGCAATGATCAATCTCCCTTCTCTCTCCACAGACTTAACTTTCTCTTTCTGCAGTCAAGAGCATCATCAGAGGGTCTAAATAATGGCCAGTGGCAAGAGGAACCAGTGCTCCAGGTACCAGCTCCCTCCATTCAACCACAAGGATGCTATTAAGAGACCTTAGAGAACTGGTAGCCAGGAGGCAGGAGAGCACCTGTGATTGCTGTTGAAAACACATGAAGCTACTAATAATTTACTCCCAGTAAGAAAATTGCCTTCTGTCCCCATACATATCAAGCCAATTAACCCAAGTCCCTAAATAAATACAAAATCGATCACTTGTGCAGTGTTCATTTTAGGTTTCAAAGACAGATCTGAGTATTGGACAACCTGGACTTCAGAAAGATTCAGCATCCCTTTTACTCTACCCTAGAGCTGGGATTTAACTATTTCAAAGAAGAGTTTAAAAAAGTGGTTTTATATACAAATACACAAAATTTTTTAAACTTTACATGGGATGTTTCTTATTTTTGAAAAAAAAATTTAATGAAACTTATTATAGCTGACAATTTAGAGAATGTATCTTTTTTCCATGAATTTCACAAGTTTTCACCGTCCTCTTATCTTCCAATTTTTTTCTGTCAGCTCTCCAGGTAAACAGATTTATGTAAAAAAAAAAAAAAAAAAAGAAAAAAGAAAAGATCACTTTAACAGCTTGATAATAAGGCTTAAAATGTGCAAAAAGGCATTTTTTAGGCATCTGCTACAAGTCACTGCAGATTTCAAGCAGCTTTCCTAATAGCATTCTTCAGCTTTAATAGGCAACTTTTTCCTGTTTTTGTTAACATTCATTTTCTCTTTCCAAGTAAACGGAGAATAAAACACACAGATTACACAGAAACATCTTGGTAGATCAAAACAGAAGATTATAAGAAAAACAGTATGAATGGTATATAAATCATTGTATTTTACACTAAAACACTAAAAAGAATACTCCATGCCGTAAGTATCCTCTAAAAAGGCCAGATTTACATTACTGTGAGAAGAGTATGCAGTAACTTAAAAAGCCCAGCAGGGTATCAGCGAAGCTAATCAGAACCAGGCATATCTTAAATTTATAGCTGCTCTAACAGGATATAGCCCATCCTCGAGTTTTTTTGGCACTAAAACAGCTGTCCACCATGAAAACCACAAGTAGACCACAGAGAAATCCTCCCTACCCTAGACAAAACTGGAGAGGGGAGGAAAGTGGCTTTCACTGCTTCACTGGGAGAAGGGAGGGAGATGGGCTGCGAAGAGGAGGCAGACAAGCCGGTCTGACTCTTGCTACCCATTAAACACATTCAGGAACATTTATACATACCACATCTATAATGCCTCAAAAAGATCTTAAAACTTTGCTGCATTTCACAGTAGCAAGCTCTTCTCCCCCCCCACTCCCCTCCAACACAGAAAACCCAACCAGACAATTATATTCTGTTACGCAGTTTTGATATTTTATGTATTTCCTCCTGTTCAAATTAAACCCCATGTGGGAGGATTAAAGTCCAATAAACTCACTCACTACAATATGGAAGTCTTAAAATTAGATGCAAACATAGGAAAAAAATTAAAACAACCCTGCTTCAAAAGAAAATAAATATGCCTACAAAAGAAATGTCAGTTTAACAAAGTCTTAATTCAGTGGTTAATTTAAAGAAAAAATCCCACCCTCACAGTATCACATACACAGAAGGAACATTTTTGCAACAGCATTTTGTTCCTTCTTTCACTGAAGAATTCTAAACATGCTCATAACCACATTAAAACAATATTAAATATTTGTTTTTAAAATTAAGAGTATGTTTACTGAAGTGTAAATCAAACTTGCTCATAAGTTTAACCCTTTGTCCAGTCTAGTCCCACTCTCTCTTAGGTACAAACTACTGGATAAAATCACACTGTCCATAATTTAATACATTGGAAATTAAAAATGCTGAAATTAAAAAGAAAAGGAAAAAATGTAGATGCAATCTTCCAGTGTTACTTAGTATATTTAAAGGCCCTAAGTCCGCGGCAAGCTAAGCTAATTAAAAGATCCATCTAATCGGATCTTTCAAAAGTGTCCTTTAGGAAATAATGAAATAGCCTAGGTGACTAACTGCATACTGATTGCTAAAGTAGCTAATGTCGCTGCCTAAGATCCAGTCAAACAATATTTACACATGCACACATATATACAAGAGATTAAACACACACAAATGAGCTGCATTTTCTTCTATCAACTTGGAACTCTTACCTTGCTCCTCAGAGTATTTAACATTTCCCAAATAGCTGGAGATCCAAGGATTTCTGAACATGGTTGCACAAACAAAGGATTCAGCAAAGAGAAACTACAATAGCAGCTAATTCTCAGCCACAGCCCTAGGCCTGTCTTAGTAATATCGTGTAGAGATTTTTCATAGCACAGGACTGGAGCTGTCAGGCTATCGCGTCCCAGGGAGTACAGTAAATGCATAGCAATAGGCTGCAAGCTGGAGCAGCTCAAGCCAGTAATCAGATTACAAACAGAAATTAGGCACATGAATGCTAAAACAGATCGTGCAACGGTGATTGGGAGATTTATAATATTATCACTTCAAAAATCCAGCCAAATCACACATTATATTCTTGTAAAAATGAATGCAGAATCCTTAAATCCTCATATTTAAAAAAATACTAGGACACCCCAAACCCCCAACCACAAACACTCCTCCCCACACCACAAGAAATCCTCCAAGAAAATGAATAATTCCTTCGTATCTCTAATCAGGATAAACTGCAATTAAACTGCAATGCTTACTTAAGAAAAACAGCACCCTGGCTGCCAAAAAAATGGACTCTGTTAATCATATCATTATGCTAAATGTTTTGCCTAACTATTAGTTGGAACATTTTAAACAGACAAGATTTATGGAAAACATATGAGCAAAATTACTGGTGGGGGTGGGGATTTAAGAACAGACACCGCAGCTCCAAATATTTTAATTTGAGACAGAAGGTGTAAAATTGCACAAAAGTACTGTCTAGCTACCTTTTTCTTTTTCCTTAAACAGATTTGATGGATTTTGGATGGAAGAGTCAGAACCATTTACAGTTCCTTTTGAAAGTCTGGAAGTATTTGCTCAAAATGGTGCAATAACACTGGCTCAGACTTCCACATTGAACTACCTGATCATCTAACTCACACACACACACACAAAGAGGCATTAAATACGTGACTGAAACTGGTCCATGCACTCAACCTCATTCAATCAAAGGCATGAACTGCCTACCAGCTTCCCTTCAACAGACCTCCTCCCTTCATAAGGTTTTCAACTAGTATTAGCAGAAAACGCACCACAAGGCTGAGGTTAGCGGTCAGGACCATGAAAAGGTAGTCTAGAAACACAAGACTGAAGTTCTTGACTTTTCTTACTTGTTTTCATGATACCTGATCCAACAGGACCCTGATCCCTGCTGGGAACCTCTATGCATGGGCAAAACATAAGCAATGACACTGTGAAAGAGACGGCTTAACCACAAGTGAAAAATATAATCTATCAAAACCCTATTAATTTGTGTTTGCTCACCGTGAAGCTGTATTTAGCCTAAGTCATCAAAACATTGGTTTTGTGTCAACAAATTCTTACAATGGATAGAAGAATACGTGCTCTATCTTGTATAAATGCCCCTGCTATTTCATAGAATCACAGAATGGTTGTACTGATTTATTTTTAAATAAGAATAATGTTGGGGTCACCTTAACCAAAGCACCTTTTACTAGTTTATCTTTCAGTGGTCCAGAGCTCCCTGGAATAAGTCCCCCCAACACCAGGAAACAGCATTGAAGATGCTGACTCGCCAAATCACACCCTCTGTTCAGAAATATTAAATGGTACATACCATGTTTTTTCTCTTTGCCTGTAACCTGAACTGGCTCTCACATTTAATTCTAAATGCTTCACAGTGCTACCCATAGTATACAAATCAAACGCTGCTGTGCTCTCTTGACCAGCTCTGAAGGACTGTTTGTAGTCAAGAATAGTACATACAAAAGCAGTAAAAAAAAATGTGGTCTGTTGACACTGATCCAAACTTGCCATTAACCCGAAAATCTGCTTTATGGCCTAGATGTAAGTGCAGGTGTGCTTAAAACAGCTAATGGGGATATTCTGGACGAGTAACCTCTGTGTATGTATCAATAAGAAAGATGCCAAATCGTGAGATGGTCCCTTCTGTCTGAATCCTGCTTGTGTAAGTCTACTTACTTGACCGTATGAATAGATGTATTATTATCTCTATTTTTATTACCTTCATTTTTAAGCACCTGTAACTCATCTAGTACACAGTA